TTATTATTATTATTGTTATTATTATTATTATTATTATTATTATTATTATCATTATTATTATTATTAGGCAATTATTATGGAAGCTTTTGAGTGACATCCGTACCTTACCAATGTATGATGTTATTTTAAGAACTGGGTACAGACCTTATCCTACCTTGATGTTGATTGTTTTTATACTTTTTATTTGGTTTCTTTCATGTTTAGCATTGATTAGATTACAACTGGATCATTTAAATCTATCACACAATACATTTGTCTATCTTACTGCACCCCTTTTACTTTCAAATATCTCCTTTAGGACAGTCAATGTTTAAGTATTGAATGTACTGTCATTATATTATTTGCATAACACACCATAGACAATGTAATGTTCAAGAGTTGGACATCTAATCAAATACTTTCCGTGTCTACCTAAGACTTATGTTTTTCTAGAATGTCACAGTGTTCGTTAATCGGACACTGGTTCATTTAATTGATTTTGATGGAGGTGGATGATTCGGTCGTGGAACTTTCATCGTTATTCTAGACATCATCAGCACATACTTCGGGTAGAAGTGTAGTGTTCGAACTTATCCACATATGGCTCACAGCTATTCCTGTAGACCTCGATCTTGATTGGTTATTGTTGACCTTTAACCTATCATTGTTTTCTTTATTTTGATTGTATCTCCAATTGATTTGATTTTCGGTCCTATATTTGTCCATAATTTTCCTGATTGGTCGATAAATTGGATCGATTTCAATGTGTTTGTTGACCGCTGATTGACCCGAGTGTCAAGCTTCTAAAAATTCTCTGGTGATTTAGAATTGCCTCTATCCAAGATCTCAACATTTTCCCAGTCGAATGTGTGTCCACAGTTGTCCACATACATTGATAAAAACGAGGATATGTCATGGCGCTTGATTGCTAATTGATGTTCGTGTGGGCAAAGATGAAGAGGGCGTCCGTTTTGTCCGATGTAGTGTTTTTCGCAGTTGGAACAATTTATTTTGTAGATGATGCTCCATCTCATTTGTTTGATTTCGAACTATATTTTCTATCTAAGGCCTAGGGATATTGCTTAGGTAATCAAACCAAAGTAAATAAAATGAAATTCACACTTCTAATCCATTGGTTGAAATTAGTTTTTTTTAAATCACTCAGGCATCTATGAATTACTCGGGTGTTACATTGATTATCATTATTATTTGCTAGTTTCATCAATTCTAATTGTTCGTCAAAAAGTATATATATATATATATATATATATATATATATATATATACAACTGAGCCTATGGTAATCCTGTTTCGTGAGAATTGAAGTTATATTGTGATGTATGCTACTGATTTCAACAGATATAAGTTATATGTATCACCAATCGAAAGTGAAATGGACGGAGGCAGAAGGTTAAGAAGATCGATGAAAAGGGGACAAGAACAGAGAATGATTGGTGTGGAGAAGAAGAAACAACTAAGTCCGAGACAATTGATTGACATTTTGCAAATGAATTATTTACTGTATGATTCTCAGATTTTACTAAGATGATCTGTAATTTTGTATTCAAATACATTCAATTGTCCTCACTACAATATACGTTTAATGCTTGATTTCGAATACAGTAATTGATAACGGTTCATCGACCAGTTAATTTCAAACTTCCTTTTGATGAATTTTAACGTTTAAATTTGTATTTATGAATAATTAACTGCAATATTCATATTTTTTTTCATCATAAACGTTTCACCTTTTGCATCATATAATTCATTCGTATCTCTGTTTTTGTATCGTTTTGTTCATCGCAGCGATTTGCTGACCAAAGTGAAGAGACTAAAAATCATGTCTATACCAAGTGTCTGGGTCTACTTGTAAGTTTTTGTTCTATTGATTATGCTGTCTGTTGTCTATTTCATCTAGTCAATATTGATAATTGTTCATAAGTCCCTGTTCTAGTTCAATTAGTCAACACTTAATATAGTTCAAGTTATTTGGTCGGTTTGTATAACAGTATTTACTATTCAGCGGATAATTACTAAACAGTTGTTTCATTTTAATCTAAATAATTTGTTTGGATACCTCTTGGAATAGTAATAAGATGGAAATCTTACTCTTAAATTTATCTATCAGTTTCCAGTACTTCTGGAGGTGTGCTGGCGGTTATCGATTTCTGGTCGCCCGGAGCCTGAAAGAATACTTCATCTTGAGGTATTTGAAAAGGAGGCTAGATCAGTATTGGTCTTGGGGATCTGAGAGCGTGACTACAGAACTCAAGAAGCAACTACTTCAGCCTTTTCCCATGGTGTTTGTACGAGTATTTCTGGATATCCTGTTTCCGTACTTTAAAGGCCTTTTGGCCAGCGAAGGAAATTCATGGGTCGAGTCAAGGCGTTCTATTTGTAGGGTTGATTATTTCTAACCTTTTCCTTTGGTTGTGGGAAGGCAGCACCACTGTAAATGCTGATTTTCTGAGGACAACACCTTACTGCCATCAAACCCTAGTACAGTCAGCAATACGATTTCACCATCAAACCTTAAGTTGGTAATTTTAGTTTTACTGCTCTCCAATCGGCCTGTTCGGCATTGAAGGACTTAAAAGAACAAGTATTCTGGCCAATATAGCCGGATTATATCTTAACAAAATGTAAATCCAACTACCACATCAAGGTAGCTGCCACAATCATTATATATATATATATATATATATCTTGCTTAATATCAGGAAAATAAAACTACTTGTATCTCAGAAATCCCAGTAAAACCATCAGCTTAAACATGACTTTTTTATGTTCATTCAGTCCTAAGATTGATCATGGTATTGTGTTTGTGTCTATCCTGCCAAACTAGGTTGGAGTGTTGATTGACTTTTCAGGAAAGAGAAAAGCTCGAGTAAAGATTTTCGAGACTACTTCACTCGAAGAAGCAAATAATACATCTACTTAAGCTGGCTAATTTACATTGTGCACAGTATTTTTGCAGTTAGGTGTCAGGATACAATCAAAAAACGATTCGTTAGTAGTTTATTTAGTTGCCTCAGTTATGTATTTCAAGGGAACTATACTTCGTGAAGCAAACGGACACGTAACTAGTTTTCTTCCGCGTAGCTGCGCTAGGGACGTCCCTACCCGAAAACTTTATAACAGCGGGAAAGCACAGAAATAATGTGTACACTAATTTAGGGTGTAGATAAATAACATCTCAAGTGTATGTTATATACATCTATAGAATATACAAGTCAAGGACTTACTCACTTCACAGTACGGAGATAGGTATAGATGTTTGAGATTTAAAGTGTGCGTTACATGTATACACAGAGTGCGTAGACATATACACTTCATAGTACACATAGCTATCGATACGATTTGGATTTGCTACATTAGTTTGAAGCCCAGTAGCAGTCGTAAATGAATGCAGTAAGTACCTGCAAATCATGAGATTAAAAGTCATCTATTGGCGATGTCCTTTACGCTCATACCAAAAGCAAGTTTAGTGTTGATCGCCGTATACTAGTCACGGCACAGTTTATAATCATCGCTCTGGTTTGCACGAGACCTAATGGATCTTTTTAGAGATAATAAAGTTAGGTACCACTAGGAATAATTTATTTATCCAGTTCTGCCCAATTCATAAATCCTTACGATAAGTCTTTCAGGTAGTCCATATTTACGACAGTGTGGGACCAGTTTGATCTTCAGGTTCAGCAGGGTGGAGAACACTGTTTATATCGTATACGTGTCATGACCTTGGAACGCATAAAGTTAAAAAACTAAGACATAACAACCAGTCAGATGATAGCAATGGTCATTGTGGAAATATGAGTTAAAAAATGTCGTTGAAATTATTCTTTAAAAAGGGAACTGATGTGTAATAAAAAAGCTAGATAATCTGGGCTCTCCTTAACAGTAATAAAACAATAGAAACTTAAAATTAGTTATTCTTCAAGTGTAATATGAAATTGAACTAATGTCCATGGCTCTAAAATCCTGATTAATTTAGATGGAGTACTTAACCAATCTTTATTTTGGGACTGTTTTCAAGTATTTTTTTATTTGTAGGATTTTAATGTTTTTACACATAAATAATTTTTATTTTGATTACAGTTAGCAACTAATAACTTTTAATAAAAGTCCTCGTGCATTTTGTATTGTATTTTTCTTTTTTTTGTAGAATAATGTAGCAGAAGTCGAGCAAACACGTGAATCGTTATTGAAAGAAAGTCTAATGAACTTCTTTTTGTAAGTTTTAGCGGTGAAACTCTACTTTATGGACGACCTTTCAACGGATTTTTAAGTGACCTTGACATTAGCCAATCAGAAGAGAGTTAGTATAAAGTAGAAATATATTGTAAAAGTGATGAATTACAATGGATATTCTTCTTTTACATTATTTAAGAACTTGTTGAGGTTTGATATAGGTTCAGAAGTTTTGAAATCATAGTGCATGCGGTATAAGAACTCGTCCATATGACTCTATAATAATCGTCCTCTGGAGCCGTGGTAGGGTTTTAAAGAATACTTCAGCCTAGACCACATGCCCTCAATGTTGTTTGTATGGACCCCCCGTCGTTGGATCAAAGAAATGACGTTTGTACACCACAACATGATGCACAAAACCAAGTCTGGAGAGGCATCTATACGCTTTCCAAACATCGGTATAGCCGCAGCTAATGTTACTGGAGACTTTATGATCCAATTTGCAACGGTTATCATGGTTTGTCTTAGCCTTAGCCGTGACCGGGCAAAAAAAGTGCCAGTTCGAGCAGATTTTTTTCTACAACATATAGTACAACGAAATACAATGTCATCGCGGCAGTCTGCACATCGTGCTGCGGTCATTTAATTGCCGCAGTCACAGACACAGGAACTTCCTAATAGTCCCGTCTGCTGTAGTCTCTCAACGATCACCTATTCTCTAAAATCTGCTGTAAAACGATCGAATGTGAGCATCTCGCACTGAACTTAGCGCCATGACCTTGAAATTCCTTAAACGCTTCTGATTGGCTCGTCCATAAATTAGAGTCCTACCGTTTTAGCTTGTTTTTCATCAATATTTTATGTAGAATAATTTCATTTTATGAGTTGGAAAACCATCATGTAGACCCCATCCCTAACTTATATGTGTAAACTTTTGAAATGGACTTTCTTTTTGGGTTTTAGTCTTTTTACAAATTACACAGCTCGACAAAATAATGATGTGATCATAAATAATTGTTTTATGAGAATTACAGCCACGATAATTATCTGATTTTATACTTTGAGTTATTCAAATTTATAAATGGGAAAATCGTATACAATCTAATTGAATTGATATTACATTTTAGTGTGTTCACAAGAATTAACAGAATATTTTATTGGGAAATCAGCAAATAATTATCGACTCACAAATTCTGTATTTACGATCTAGAAACTGGCAAATTAAGTTAGAATATATGGTGTAGAAAATGTGTGTCGTCAATATTACTTCAATCAAATTGTATTTGTATTATAATTAGATCATCAAAAGTGAAAATGAGATATCATAGAATCGCTTTTGATTTTGAAGGCTATAATTGATTTCATAGCTTGTTCACATTTTGCGCAAATTCCACTGGAAGAGCTGGTAAGTAAATTAGGTTTATACACAACTGGTTTGAAATCGGAATTTCCCAACTTCTGTGGGTAAATCTACTGTTTCGACTCACTTTCGATAAACCCCGAGTATCCACTTTCAACCTATCATTTCTAAAGAACAAAGACTGATTTTGATTTCACTGGAGTTTTCACCCTTAATATCACTATATTTTGAGATTAAGAGTTGACTTACACCCTTGAACGTTCGGAACAATATTTGAGTTGGGGTCGCAGAAAGGATCTTTATGTTAACTTAATATCGATCAACACATGGTTGTTTCAAGAGTTTGAGACACTGTCAAACATGGCTTCACACTAAATCGGTGACGATATCTTTGTGTTTTCGTATTGTGTTATTTTGTAAGATTAAAGGTGATATTTATCTCAGTTGTGTTTTAGTCTGAACCATGTCCTTTAAATATATTGATCATTAATATAATCATATGGTTTTCTCTCTTATGTATTCACAACACCTATTTTGGCCTGAGATTATATACAATGTTTTCAGTGTTCACTAAATGTTTCGTATTCAGCACTTTCGGTCATTTTCAGATTATTTGGTGAAGTGATAAAAAAATTACATTACAATGCAAGATCGAACATATTTAAGTGTAATTTTGATTAAAGACTTCATTTCAAACAAATTAATTATGCACAGCCGTCTGATATGAGCATATTCCAATGGACCCCACGCCGACACAGTGGACGAGAAACATAAATATAATAAAACTTAGGGCTTAAAATTAAATCCTTAGTAAAAAAATACTCTTTAATATCCTGCACTCACCTGTTAAATAGACGGAAAAATGACCAAAAGTGATAGGTAAAACACAACGAATATCTTGTTGTTTGTACTTCACTTCGCGATATCTCATTATATTAAGCTATCTTGAATTGAAAAAAAAATAATGTTCTTGCATTGTTAATCATATCTCAGTAATTATAATTATATTTGACTTCTTAAAGCTTATTGATTCCTGTCAAAGAGAAGACATATGAAACTCTTCTTCTTTCAAATGATTCAAAGTTATTATTTGATTGTGCAGTCATGCTCTGGTACGGCCGAGAGTGGGGAGAGTCAGCTCTTCCTCTCGAGATGCTCTCAAATGGCCACGTACATACGACCACTCCCAGGAAAATCCTATTCACCGCCTCGCGGCGGGTGTGTTGTTTACAAAATCAAGAGGATGAAAAGCGAATGTCCAGTGCTTTTACCGGGGAGTTGGAAAATCCTGATCTCAAACCACTGGTGCATATGGGCTCCAGGATCCTAAGAGAACAAATAGCGTAAGAACCAATCATTGGTCACCGGGTACTACTGACTGCATTTGCTGACGTTGCTCCAGTGCCTTGTGGATTAGACCTTTAGGTCAAAGGCTCCGGGTGTGATCCCTTAATAAGACTGCCTGCTCCGGTTTGTGCACCCGGCCAGTATCCCAGCCTTCACACAAATCGAATGATTTGTATGGCGCATATCTATTTGGTGCCTCCTTGTACCAATGTTTATGTGTTTAAATAGATAAATATGTATTTTCAAGAACTTTCCACAAGAAAGTATTCATCACTTGAAGGAAACTTATAAACCCTGTCTTTTTTTCGAATAAACATTATCATGTTTTGCTATCATAGACATCCCTATGATGTTCTTATTATTACCGAGTTAAGGATGTTGAATTTTTAGTTAGCCAGTTTCAAAAGCGAAAGTCGTTCATTTCCTTTAAATGTCACATTTTTTATTTGGAATTATGATTATAATTCCCTTTGTTATTTCATCTACTAATTAATGTTTTTTAAATGAGATGTATTTTTTAAATGCAGCAAAATGCTTAGACATCCTTGTATCCAGATAAGTTATTTTGCTGCTGGTATTATTGCGCATCTGTCATGTTTAAAAGATGAGATATGGTTGCGTAATATTCAGTCAAGTCGTGAAAGTTATGTGAAATTATTGGTAAGGTTGGTTGTATTTTTCGTTATTTTTCTGATTGTTTCCGTGTATAAGTGGGATTTATTACTGAAATTTAGAATGTTCTGTTTTCATCTTAATACAGAAAATAAAATTAATGTTAAATCATGATAATATACGCAGTAAAAGCCATCGTAACTTGTTTGTGTTTATAGATACTGGTGTATGGGTCGATCCAATTTGATGATTCAACTAATAGCGAGTAATTCAAGCAATTCTAAAGAATGTTTGTTACTATGGTCTTTTGAGTATATAGAAAGGAAGATACTGCCCACAAGTTATTATTAGTTACATTTTTCTGTCATCAAACAGTAGTATTTACTTCCGCAGAAATTCCTCACTCAGTCAAACGCAACGTAGAGCCTGGTACATGTGTACATCGGTTCAAGTTCTCATACCCCAATAACACACGAAAATGGAATTGCTAAGGCACATTCCTGAGTAGTAGTGGATGAAAAGATTGGGTATGAAAGATAAGATTTGAGGAAATATAAGTTACTAAAATCAGAAAAATTATGAAGAATTGCGAAACTTAAAATGTGAAAGAAGAAAACGAGTGAATGCACCTGGTCTATTAGAAACGATTTCGAACCATATCACCCAAAGTCTCCAGCCACTGATAAGCTGAACTTGTTAACGAGAGTCGGTTCCATTGCTAATGACTTTATGGACTTGTGCCATGTTTTGGTTCAGCCCTCCCCCCTTAGTTACGGAAAGTTTACATGTCTCTGTATGGTTTTAACTGAATCGTTGTAATTCTCACAGGCTTTTCCTTTCCTCTTTCTAAAGCAGTTGTTTTCCTCCATAAAAGATTATCATACGTATTTGTAGTGTACACATTACTTTTTTCTGGAATTTAGTTTTTATTTATTTATTCCAGGGTCAAGCTGTTTGTAATTGGCAACCACCACATTCTGAGATGGTCGCTTATCGCTCTTTTGAACCGTTTGGTCTGTTAGTTTTGCATCCGGAAAGTCGTTTAGAGATACATTTGTGGGCTGTTTGGGCTATACATCATATATTAACCAGAAAAGGTTTGTTTTGTTTTATTTTTTATTCGTAAATTTAAATTTATCTGACTTCATTTTAATTTCTTATGGATCAATATCTTAGTGTTTATAGCACAATTAGCTCTCAGTCAGTAGGTTTTATGTTTAAGATCGCTGGACACTTTCAATTTGGACAGCCAGGTGCTAACATCAACCCTCACAAACAAATAATTTAGCTCAAAAACGAGTAGATAAACCAGTAATTGGTAAATAACGTAAATGTGGCATCAGTTCACGAAGTCAATGATTTTTGGATTAAACCGTATTAGTAGGTGCTGACTACGTGATTGAGGTCCGTGAGATCAGTGTTTGGGGATGGGTGACATGAATGAGATTCATTCTCTCTGTCTTCTTTTAGATCCTGAGTTCCCAAATTATCTTGTACTTCTTTATTCTAGAATCCCACTTCCTATATCTAATCTTTCCTATTACAAATGATACTGTCAGTACTTCCACTTCTCCGGGATTCTCCTTAACAATTTCATCTCACCGTGCTGATGTGTGGAAGCTCGAACTGCTGAATATATGTATCAGTTTCTACGTTGTTTTTGAGAATACTGCAAAACCGTTCATTTTATATGTATATATATATGCACCACAGGATTGATTGGTTACAAGTTTTCATGATTTATCGAATTTTTGTGTCTTTTTCGCTACTCGAATGCATGTAATACATTTTTTCATAAATAAAACGGAATGCTCTACTAGATTTCAGTTCATTCGATTTTACTGATTTATTGTTAACAAAGGTTGAATAATTTTGTGGTACTTATAGCTATATTTTCCAATTAGTTTTTTTGCTTGTATTTGGTCAACTCAAATATCAAATGTCTGTTCCACGGTTTTCTCTTTACGTTTGAATTTTTTTTGTATATTTCGTCATCAAGTATATTAGCAGTTTTGCTTTTGTTCCCCTTTCTTTTCTAGAAACGCGTTATGTACCGGTTTTATGTGAATGTCAACCACTGCTATCATTTCTAAGATTAGTTGTTTCTTTTGATGAAGGAGTTTTATGCGCTCATAATTTACAACGACAATTATCTGATCAAGAGCCGCGTAGTATAAATACTGATTTCCATGACAATGATAATGTCCAGAATAATAACAATTATTGTGTGAAAAACAGTGATCCGATGAAGTATTTAACTACTCCATCTAATGTTATTCGTCCTCAACCTCCAAGTGTATATTCTCCTTCAACAGATTCTGATATTTTCTCAGAAGTACCTGCTTTATGTGAAGCAGCTGCCGGTGATTGTTTCATGTCAGAAAGTCAACAGACGCAATCTTCAAGACAGTCGTCAACAGTTACACATGTTGAACCTGTAGGACAAAGTGCAGAAGGTGTTGCAGCGTTTGTAGGACCTGATGAATCTCAACTTGCTTGTGCTAGACTTATCCGTAAAATGGCTTCAGAAATACTTGCGTCTGTTGATCGAACTTTACCAACATTACAGTCTACTTCTATTCATAATTATAACAATAACAGACATTGTGATCTGCCTGCATCTCATTGTTAGAAAAAAACGTAATATCATTTAGCGTTAGTAATCAGCTAACATCATTTTAATTTCCCATACTGAATTCGGTTTGACCATTATTATTGTGTCCATTATTATTTTGACACATCCACTAAATTATGTAACTAATCCATTGATCTATCATTGTATTTTCCACATGTTTCATTTTCAACATATTAATATTCATCATCACTGTTGAAGTTCAGTGCACATTGTTTACAATATGAACCAGTATATATATATAATCCATTAGTATTCATATCATAAGGGAAAAAAATAATCTATTTCACACCTTGATTGTCTTTCATGTAATTAAATTCACCCTGTTTATGTCACGGAAAAATAGGACATTATCGTCTATTCAATTATAACAACACGTGATTATAACTGTTATTACATATTTACACATATAAATAATAACTACTGTTAATTAGACTAGTATTGGTACCAATTTTGTTAATAATAATAGTACTTGTACACAGGTCTGTAGATTTATCTAAAACGAATTTTCTTATTGTCATGAGAAACTATTGTATTGTTCATATTCCATACATATTGTGTTGAATTACATGTGTAAATTTTGTTTGTTGTTGTTAGATAATAATAACTATGCCTATTGTTATTATACTTGTTCACTTTATCATTGTTGTTTCTTTTTCTCTCTATATAATATTTCCTCAATTTTTCGCACAAAATTTAATGTTTATTTTTCTGTAAATGAACTGTATTCTTAAGGCTTAATCTCATTTTTTTGTAATGATTTAAATTGCATTTAAAGAGAGTCTGTTTTAAATTGCTGTTTATTTTATAGCTATACAGATTGCTTGAATAAAGTGTATGATTCACCTTGGTAGATTAATTGACCTATACATATATACGATGATATATGCTAATTTAAATGCGTATGTACATTGTTGAATGTACTCTAGATATTCTCTTGCATCGATATTGATTCTTTTTTCTTGTCCTTTGTGTATGCATGCTTATCTATTTTCATGTAACTGTGGTTTCTCAATGTCGATATAATTTCATTATTAATTTATTATAATTGTTTTTGTGTTTAATTACTTCTTAATCAGTTTCTGATCGTATTTTAATCGAAAAAAAACAAGGAAATTCCCTTGTTATAAATATTGTGTATTCAATGATTGCAAATGCAAACTAGCATACTTAGTCTGTGTGCGTTTGTTCATGATTGAACGTAATTTAACTAAACAATCAAAAAAATATCTTTATATGAAACTGTTTTGTTGATAATCTGGTATCTTACCATCCATCTTATTCAGTTGTTAATACTCTTAACTCTTTCTTGACTTGTTATTCTTTTTCTGGTTGGTGTAAATGTTTTTAATGAAATAATCATGGTCGTATTTTTTTGACACGGAACTAGTATAATCATGCACACAATCGATGCATATATATATTTAATGATTGGTCGGTGACATATATTATTTTTTGACTGCTTAAGCTTCTCTTGTTTCTAGTGAATATCGAATATTGTTTACCAAATGAAGCAAGCCATTCCATTTTCATAGAAAGCAGGGAACATGATAACTTGTGGTATGTTCTTGCAGTGAATACAGATCTACTATGCATTTGCTAGATTCATCAAACTTGTTATTTGTGAATGTGGAAAAGCAATCATTTATGAGTATGATATCTTTACTATTGAGACAAGGAATATAATTGTGAAGAGGATAATATTTTGATGGGAGTTGTTCATGTTCGAAAAGTGGTTTCGTTCTCCATTTCAGCCGATATTATTCTTATGTTTCCAGTGATTATTGATCATCTACCTTTCAATTAACAGGCTAATACAATTAAGCTTGAATTGTAGTGATGTAGCGAGTTCGAAATGTAATGAATAATTGTAAAATCTTGATTCTGTTATCATAACTAAGAGATATAATGTGATATTTCTCGAACTGCGTTTAAGTCCTTCTAACTTTATTTTGTGCGTACATATCTTTGAGCTGTTCCTTTTCTTTTTAATGAGCCATTTGACCCTTAAAGCATTAGTTGGTGTTCTTGACAAAAATCTTCGTGAAATAGAAACAGATTTGCTGAAAAGAATTGATAATTGTTAGATGTGACAAGCATCGCTATTTGTTTTATATGAGGTTGTCAGTCACAGAAATGTATATTTCGCGTTCCTCGTATTATGAATTCAATATGATTTCGCATTCTTTGTGGTTGGATTAAGACGATTCATTTTCTTAACTAGATTCCCATATATCTACCATGCTAATTTTTTCATGTTTTTGTATATGATTTGCATGTTGTGAATAAATTTAATATGTCTATATATATCAAAGTGTTTTTCTTTTCTCATCATTTGTTGATGTCAAACATGTCTGAAATTAAGTGATATTTGATTTCGAATTATTATTTTATATTCATGAGGTCACTCATATTGGAACTTTAAAATCTACATAATAAAGGGTTTTATGGTAACTTTCCAATTGTTCAACCAGTGCTTTCTTATGATAGATAACCTATTTTACCCAGAAGTTTTCCTGTCTTAGAAAACGGACGTAGTATTGTAGTTCTAACTCGTTTATTAGATATTTTCAGTTACTCTAGTACTTATTTCTGTTTATCAGAAGGGGTTTAGTGGAGATTTTAGTAATTTCAGTAGTTGAAATCATGAGTCAATTGAAGCTAGACCATCTGGAAGCACTTGACGGCCGTTTCGTCCTAGTATGTGACTTCTCAGCAGTGCGCATCCGCGATCCCGCCCCCGAGAGATTTCTGTTTAACGTAATTGTCGTGTTATCTATTAGTTGAATAATGCTAGTATAAATATAAACTACGTTATGCGTCAATATTCGAAATTTACATACTAAGCAACACAAGAACTTTAGTAATGACGTTCTGGTTATAGTTGTGTCAGTTTGTAAAGGGAGGTATAGTGGAAATCGATATGACGAACAAATTGTATCTGAGATATTTAAAGTAGCTGCATATTAGAGAGGACAAATAAGTGCATGGTACATCACTACGTAATATCATTTTTTTAATTAGGCTGAGATTTTGCGTTCTTTTTAACTTGATGAGTTAAACCGTCTTGCCAGATTCACAAGTAATTGCTATTTGGTATTATTCTTTTCCGCTCTTATTGATGTTTTCCCTAATTTCGAAAATGTTAGTCAGGTGGAACTTTCATAGGGGGCGGGTAAATGGGGGTGACATTTTTAAAATCATCCTGTTATACAACAGTGAATATGGTACAAGCGTCGCTGTATCCAGATACTTCAAGAAAGCAGGCTAGTACAATAAGAAGAACCTTTAGGTAAAGTTAACTAGATAGATGAAAGATTCAACAACACCAGGGATTGGAATGCATCCGCCTTACGGATCCTATTATTTCGTGCTGTAGATTTTAGGATTTAATTCAGCTTGAAAACTTAAACTCGATAGTCTGGTTATCGTAAATTGCTTTGGTTAACTATAATCTTTTTCTGCCCTACATTTGATTGATTTCTGTGGTGTGGCAAATCCGTGAGGGATCTAATTGTACTGTCTTGATAAGGTTTGGGGGTTTTATTTTAGATCTTAAGTTTTCTTAGTTTGTAATATTGACCTTTCATAATAATCGATTGTGCGTATGCTTTATTTTTAGTTGCTGATTCTTTCAATACTATAGTTGTGATATGTCAACTTAGTCCAGTTCTAGAGATTGTGTAGATGTACGGAACTCACCCCTTTCTCATATATCGCATCATAGTTTGGCATATATATATTCCGACCGTTGATGCTACCTTGACGTGCTGGTCGGGCTTGTCCATTATGATGAACCGATCCGACTATACTGGCTGGAACATTCGTTCCTCAAGGTCCTACTATGTCAGGCAGATTTGTTGAAGAACGGCAAGACTAAAAGCAGCACGGAAATTACTCACATAAGATGCGTGTGGTTTATTGGGTATCGGTGTACAGATCTAAACTAACAACGACTTGTTTTAGGCAGTATCGGATAACATTACTAACCATCGTAATGAGTGTAACTTTTAGCCTGTTTATATGAACTTATACGTGATCAATGCGTCGTGCTTCTCTGGTGTTATAATAATAAGATGCTATGAATTAAGGTTGCTTACTAAAATTATTTACTGCTATTTCCTATATTTTGGAATACCAATATATATACATTTAACATCATTTTGATTATGCAGTAAAACAAAATATATTTCAACGTAATTCGCATATTTCTGATTAATATACAAAGATATTACTATTGAGGTTTTAATATGATATTAGATAAGTTATTTTTGAATTTTGTGCCAAAAACAAACGAAAGTTTCCTCTATTTTGACTGTGTTATTCCTTTGATTATACTTTTCTCGATATCTAGAAAATATGTGATGTGAATCATTACTCAAACTACTGAAATGATTTAAATTTTTAAGTAATCTAAGTAAAATACCTTATTAGAAACAAGTAATCATTCAGTCAACAACAGGATGTTAAAAATATCCTTAGATATATGGATATATTAGAATATACAGTGGAAGTTTTTATTGACTGAATACTTGTTTTAACTATTAAATAAATTAAATCTTTATTAATAATTTTTCTTAGTTTACTAGTTTGCCTTTATTTATAATTACTATTTTTATAACTGTTGTCACTATTGATTGTATCACGAAATTATTAGTTATTCAATGTTTCTAAGAGTTAATACGTCAAATCTAACTTTTCTTTGTGAAAACTAGTAAAATAATTAACTTATTAACAGTTAATATAACAGTGGTTGGTGTAGGAGAAGAAAACTAGAGGCAGTCAAATGACAAAATAGCACTAACCTATGAAGTATTCTTCCAAAATGTTCAAACTAACAGATTTATTCATGCTGAGGTCTGTATAATGATCTTTATCTTTGGTTGAAAACATTGTGTGGAATTATCGATAATCAGTTACAATAGCTTCTGTGCATTCATTCTAACCTTTCTCTAAATGTTGAGCTTATATTTATCCCATACTTTCATTCTTGTTTGTTCTTCTAAGCTATGCTTCTTACATTGAGTTTGGTACTGCTATCAATATAACTTTCCGCTCATCTTGCTGTCATCCTTCTTTCTCATTGTTTCAGCGTTAGGTTTGACTTGGATCGATACAAACTCGTATTAGACCCTGCATTCTTTATAACCGACTACGTGATTAGTAACATATCGGTCATTTATATTTGGTAAATAAAGGTGTAGTCATTCTAATTAGTGTGAATTCATTTGTCTAAATGTTTTTGTGGAAATCTTTAGTATAATTTGTAGGAAGATAATTCTCATTGTATATTGAGAGAGTTATTAATATCATAACTGGATGACTGATATAGTTCGATGCAAGAAAGTAGGCAAAAGCTATAAATATAGGCTTGTTAGGTCCCCGAAATAGATCAAAACCTAAGTTTGAATACGCTAAGCTTTACTCATATTGATCAATATTCACATTTGAATATATATTGAACTGGGGTAGTTGTTAGCGGGATATAGACTAGATTAAAGTACGTTCCGTGCAGGATTGTGTTCGAACACAGTGATTGATTATTTCCCGACCAATCAGCGCTAGTGGAGACTTGGAGAAGACTCTAGAATCTTCTTATGTAAAAATTATAAATATACTAACGTTTTTCTTATTGTGATTCCTACTTCCTTTCAACCTTGTTATTTGGAATATAATTACGTTTCTGTTTAACCATGTTCTGATTTGGGTACTTGTCAAGTGAAGTAGTGTCCAAGACTACTAAGCAATAAGAGTAGCTGGGTCGTAATAAGAGAAATTATTACAGTAGTATTATAGATTACTTGATTAATGACTTGTCGTATGAACACAATGCACTATATTATAAAATTAAACTACAGTAACCAACAAATGTAACTTAATCACTGATTTATTCTTTATAACAATTAAAGTTTATGAAACAATATATAGTTTAGAACAGACAGATTGTGGCTAGCAGTGAAATTCAGGACTCACGTTTCGTCTAATTTTGGGACGCGTCAGCTGTAAGATAATTCAAATAATATATAACTGTTTCAGATTGCTTTCTATTGATATTATGTTACGTATAAAATTCTTTATGCATGGTATTTTGAATGATTGTTTAAAATTTGTCATTTTTATATTATACTTTTACATTAATGTTGTATTATTATTCTTTTGAAATTCAAAATAACAATAATTTTAGGCAACCAAAATTTTCAACTCTATCCGTACTGGACAAATGAAAAATGTACAGAAATTTGCTTACTTTATGGTTTTGGATTTCGAAGCAACTTGTGAACAAGATAGAAAAATTCCAGTTGCTGTATGATAATAATTCATTTTTTGTTCTTGTTAATGTTTACATTTTTCTGAATACTTTGCATTGATTGAGTTGTATATTTAAGAAATCTTGTATATTTACTTAGTAGGATGTCAGTCAGTTGAGCTTGGATACATTATATTGTCGAATCGATTTTAGCTTTATTTAACTCATTAGGATAATCTGTTGTCATATAAATATTAGATGTAACTCATGACTTGGTATAGATCAATTTTGCAACAGACTCACGAAGTATATATATATTCATTATTCATACTTGTTCATTTGCATTTTCAATGTTTTTCTCAACACATGAACAAGATTAGTGCAAATTATATCTAAATAAATTTCATATTTGTTTTACAGTTCAATCTTTATCTCTTTTCAACAGATTTATTACAATTAGCTTTAATGGCTAATGTTTAACAGACAGTTACGTGTTTAAAATGTTAAGTATTTCTGCTTTCAATTAGACATCTGAAGAGATATCTTGAAGTGGTTTTGCTTATTTTCTAAAACTGTATTTTCTGATAACTTTCTTCTAGATTTACTTTATTCATTTATATCTGACTAGATATTTTTGGTAAATACAGGAAACTGAAGATTTTTTGAGAATCTCAAGCACTCACTTTGTTCAATATTATATTCACAAAATTGATTGAAAAGAAAGTGGATTTTTTGTTATAGGTTGGCATCGGTTAAACTATGTGTTAACAATAAGAGGTCACTGGAAAGTTTTTTTCGTATTAAAGTCATTCATCATGTCTATCGATTGTGTATTATCATTCAGCCATATGATATCAATCCGTTTGATCTATCTATCAGCTCATTTTATTCATTCATTTCAACACTTTAGAACTCATCCTTCTCCATAATAACTTTCTAGTCAGTCTTTGTCTTTAAATCTTAACAATGTTATGTCTTTCATACTATGTATTGTGTCTAGTTTGTGTTCAAACAAATAAGTATCATTTTAGCCAAATAAATTATACGAACCATAAAAAGTTTATTAATCCAGATGCTTTTAATTAGATGATCAAAGCAACAGTGAAACTTCGTTTGGACCTATGATTCTACAACTTTCCAACTATAGATTAACACTTATCAATGTCGTTAGTTCGTAATTAACTCATTTTTTTATATCATCGTTTCTCAACTTCTGTCCATCAATATAAAATGTTATGTGTAACATGAAATATTCACAGATTCTGGCAAAATATTTCAATCATTATTTTTTCGACGTTGGAATTATTTGGATTTTGTCTTCACTCTCATAGTTGAAGAATGTTTTTTCCTTCATGTTTTTAGGAAATTATCGAATTCCCCGTTCTCATGATAAATGCTTCTACATTGCAAACTGAGGCTATTTTCCATCGCTATGTTCGTCCTACTGTTAATCCAACATTAAGCGATTTTTGTACAGAAGTAAGTAGAATTTGAAAAACTTGCTTTTTTCCTTGATAAAGCTCCAATTGGAGGATCGTAGTGTAGGAATCTATCTCTCATATGAAATGTTGACTAATCAGTTACTCATAATAACTTCCGTTACTCTAGATAAATCACTTACTAAGACACTTAGCTAATATAGTTTCTCGCAATGCTTCAAGTTGGCTTCAGTCTTCTTTTTTATCTCCTACAATGGGTTATTAACGACGCGCTAAAAAGTATTGCAATATTAAAAGACTGGTAATAAGTAATGCACTAATTATTTGACAATAATCAGTTTGATATGGCCAGTACTTCATTTAAAGTTAGCTGAATATATTAAGAATCGTTATAAATTGAAAAAGATTTCACGACTTCTTCCAAACGAATTTCTTTTCTTGTTTTCAAATCAAAGTTAAGCGCTTATACTGGTCTAAAACATTGGATACTATCATCATATTATACAGGTACTATAATTTGTAAAGCTGTCGTTTTTGTGTTTTTCATACACACTATAAGTCAATGTATATTTTATGATAATTATTTCTCATTTTTCTTAACAATTTGTCTATAAAATTGATTGATGTATATATTCTTCTCCAAGATGATCATTTCCTTCATCGATTGTAGCAAATTCATTTTCTACTGTTAAATAATTTATATTATTGATTACTAAACTTAATTAATTTAAAGATTTACAATATTCAATTATATTGTGATTATTTTTTATATATTACTTACTTACGTACTTACGCCTGTTACTCCTAATGCAGCATAAGCCGCCGACCAGCATTCTCCAACCCACTCTGTCCTGGGCCTTCTTTTCTAATTCCATCCAATTCTTGTTCATTTTTCTCATGTCTATCTCCATTATCCGGGGTAATGTGTTCTTTGGTCTTCCTCTTTTCCTTTGGCCTTGAGGATTCCATGTGAGGGCTTGTCTTGTGACGCAGTTGGGTGCTTTCCTCAATGTGTGTCCTATCCACTCCCAGCGCTTCTTCCTGATTTCTTCCTCCACTGGGATCTGGTTTGTTCTTTCCCACAGTAGGTTGTTGCTAATAGTATTTTGCGTAGACAACTGTTAATAAACACTTATATCTTCTGGATGATGGCTTTCGTAGTTCTCCAGGTTTTCCACCCCATACAGTAGAACTGTCTTGACATTTGTATTGAGAACCCTGACCTTGGTGTTGGTTGACAGTTGTTTTGAGTTCCAGATGTTCTTCAATTGTAAATATGCTGCTCTTGCTTTACCGATCCGCGCTTTCACATCTGCATCAGGCCCACCATGTTCATCAATGATGCTGCCCAAATATGTAAAGGCTTTTACATCTTCCAAATCTTCTCCGTCAATTGTGATTGGATTGGTGCATTCTGTGTTGTATCGGAGAATCTTGCTTTTCCCTTTGTGTATATTGAGACCTACTGCTGCTGCTGCTACAATGGTCGTTTTCTCCTGCATTTGTTGTTGCGTTTGGGATAGAAGGGCCAGATCATCTGCGAAGTCTAGATCGTCCAACTGCATCCTAGATGTCCACTGTATCCCGTGTTCCCCTTCAGATGTTGACCTTTTATATATATATATATATATATATATATATATATATATATATATATATATATATATATATATATATACATATACATATATATATATATATATGTTGCTAATTATTTATTAGTCCGCAAAAATTAAATTGTCAATTCAGTGTAGCTTTTTAATGGAGCCATACTTCTACACAGTTTTACATTAACAAACATGTATCGTACATTATCGATCTTATTACATCAATCAATATATCAATCAGATTTATTGATTATTTAAATTCCTATAATTTTTTATTTCAACATGTATTTTTAACAACAAAATTTTTTTTTGAAATAATACTATCACTAAATACATAGAATTTTCATTATTTTTCATAATAATTTAACTTATTAAAAAAATTAGTTTTATCAATAAAATTTAATAAAATGATAATGCAAATGTGAAACCTACTTTCATATTGATTAAATAAAAATATGTCACTAATTAAAGGAAATAAATCGCGGAGAATTCCTCGTCGTGCATTATTTGCTGACGCTGGGACTGGTTGGAGAGTTGGTCAGTGTATGACATGGTGTCGTGGTATGGAAGAAAGCTGCACAGAACTAGCATCAGTTGGACCTTCGCGACTCCCTGGTTGGGGTCCTAGAGATGGCGAAACACAGTGGCTAAAGACGTTATCAGATATGGCTCAGAATAGAAGCCAGTGGGGGTCCTACTGTAACCTTCTTTTGCTTTCTTTATAAAAGTGGCTGTAACTTCTTCAACTGAAAGAATTCTTTCTGGTTGTGCCTTTCTGTTTCTCCCATTATTATTGTTATTTCACTACCATACACTAATTTGTGGTCGTTATTGTTCTTTTTTTTTTACGCACCTTACATTCTTTATCTGTTCCCGTTCTCATTGTTATTGTGTGGCGCATATGTGTCTTGTGCCCCCTTGTAACAATATTTATGTGTTCAAATAAAATAAAATAAGAATAAATAGCTAACATGTTTCAAAGTTCATTATGATGATACATGTATACTTATTCTTTATTATTTTGTGACAAGTCAATATATACCTTTAAGTATTAGATTTATCTTGTTAGATTAGGGTTTTTCTCTATGTCAAAAACTAATTGTATTCAGTTGTTATGATTTATTTTCGTATTTTCCCGTAAATTATAATTATAGTTATTCAATGTCGAAATATAATCGTTTTTAAATTGCACCTCATAGCTCACTGGTATAATACAATCCATGGTAGACGATCAACCGGATTTACCGACTGTACTCAAAGTAAGCAGACGTAAATATATATACTCACAAGTCACATATTCATATACCTGAATTCTAGTCAAATTTTAAACTTAACAGTTGTTGATGCTACCTGGTTACGCAAACCGAAGTAGATAGAGCAGGGTTCGAACCTGAGGCTTAGTTGCTAAGATTGAAGCCCCTTTAACCACTGAGCCACCTCTCCATATATATATATATATATATATATATATATATATAATCATTTTAATAAAATTTTAATGAAACCACGAAAATTAATTCTAATGCTTCCATTTTCTGATGGTTGAATATTTGTGCTTAGCATAAATGTCGTTAATGTTAGTAAGAAATCATGTGTTTATGCTATTTGTTGTTTATTTGATAAACTATATATTTTTCTATCTTTAAGACATAATTAGGCAGTAGTTTATATTTCCATCTTGTCAAAAATAAGGTTGTCAGAATAAAATCTTATGTTTGGTCATATCATAATGATTTTTGTAATTTACCTTAGTTAAAAAACCATTAGTTACTAGGAGACACTAGGGAGCTGTTTTTTCGTAGTATTGAATTCCTGAATAGTATGCACTCACGACTCCACCGTGGATCGAACCCAAGAACTTTAGGTCTCTTAGCAAATCCTTGACCTTCAAATCACTGACTTGGCATCCAATAATTTATATGTTAGTTGCAATCAATTTGCGATATTTTTTTACTGCTGTTGATGATATTTGTGGTTGTATAACTCAGACCAGTTTGTGATGTAAACTATGAGATTCAACAATTTCTTGAACACCTCATAATATGAATAATCGATTTATCATTTCTTTTTTTTCAGACGTTTGATTCATTTTTAGATGAGAATAATTTAAAGATAATTCCGTATCAGTTTGCTTTTGTGACGTGTGGTGACTGTGATTTAAAAACAATGTAAGCGACATAACGTTTTTTGGTAAATTGTCATAAGACATTTCAGATAGTATTCAAATGTAATATTTTAAATCTAAAAATTTCTACACTGATACATCAAACAAATAGAAACAGTAAAAACGGAATTTATTTATGTTGTTAATTCAATAAATACACTGAGGTACATGAAAGTGTCAAGGGAACTTAGAAAATACTTTCAGGGAATTTGTAAAATATTGACGGCTGTTACAGAAATAGTACACTTAGGAAAACGTCTTTCAAAATGGATCATTTTCTCCAGAGAGGTCTTTGAAGAGTTCAAGGATATTACAAAGCTTTAAACTGATTAAATGAATTTACAAAAAATTATGCTTATTATTCTAGCTAAACGTTTGGTGTTCAGAAAAAACATGAAACGATTAAGGCAGTTGAAAACCCGACTTCTAAGAACTTCAAGTGGTATCACGAAAAGAGTAAAGGGAAGCTATATACGTTTGTAGCTACAAATGAGAAAAGGTTTAAAGGACCTTACATTGATTAGCTTTGGATTTCTTAATATAGATTTTTTTATTATCTCAATTTGTGTATTTATTTGATAATATTTGTACATATCACATAGAATTTTATTTGCATTGCATATGATGTTGAACACCTGTACGTCAATTTGTAGTTTTACGAGATAAGTAGGTTTTTTTCAAGCTGCATATTCGATTGGTTGCCTCATATTTCACTCATTAGTTATGTATTTCTCATCTGTATGCCTCTTCTGTATTTCTTCACTATCTCATTTTTTTGTTTATGTTACCCGTACTTATTTTGAAGCTTCGGTTGCACCAATACAGTTAATCTTTTGTGGAACTTCGGATCATACACTAGGTGGTCTGTAATTGATTTCCGAAACTTGTGATCGTTCATTTATTACTACAAATGCTATTTAATATTATTTTTATCATATTTACCTTTATCCTCTACGTGGTCGTTAGTCGTATTCTGGTATCACTCCCATAGTTAATAAAAAGATCGGTCAACTGAATCAAAAACCTTGTGGGGATGTCTACTGTAAAATAAAAGAAAACAACATAACATGATCACACTGACAATTAATATTCGAAAAATATGATCAAATAAATTTTTGGATGTGTGAAAAAAAAGGTTTTTATTCATTTACAAACAGATAATTCTTGACGTCAATAGAACTGCCGCTTCATTTCTATAAGTAGTTAAAGCTACTAAAATCACTTAAACTAATGATAATACTCCTATCACCAATAGCCAAAACTTGGTAAATATTGTCATTTTTATCTGTTATCTGCTCTCTACCTTTTAAATAAAAAAAATGATTCACTATGTTTTTAAAATTCTGTCAGATGTTGCGTTTAAAAGTATGGTACTATAGTGAACGAATGCTCAAGTGGGGAAGATCAGTTTACTATTTGATGCAAGACTACAGTTCTTTAATAAAATATGAAAACCATATATTAAATACATCATTTGCACATCTTTCATCAGTCGTCCTTTACATACCTGATGATTCTTTCAAATCTGTTGTTATTACAATTTCTTTCTGTTTACCTTTCTGTTATCTCCAACTGAATCTTCTCAATCTTCTACAGGCATGCATTCCACTTCCGATTGGTATTGCATACTACTTATATCTGTCGATATTAGTAGCATACACCACAGTTCTACCTACTTGTTTTACTGATGAACTTTAATTGGAATATTTAAGTCTTTTTTAATCAAATATCTATTTGAAAGTTTTTTGTTTCTCTGATAGTGAATTCCATTTATATATATGTGGACTGTGATACTGCCCGGGTGTCCGGACCGAAGCATGTGGTTTTCATAGGGGTCAACACCCGTAGCTTTCAACCTAAAGGTCTGATCCACAAGAACGCGGAGTAACGCCAGGAGATGTAGTCCCATGATAGCCGTTGAGCAACGATAGGTTCATACGCCATTTGCTCTTTCAGAATCCTAGAGCCTATATGAACCATTGGTTTGGAATCAGGGTTTTCCAACTCCTCTAAGTGGATCATCCTTATCCAACATCCCGGTTAAAGCGCCGGACATTCACTTTTAGTCCTCTCAATTTCGTAAACAACACCCCCGCTACAGTAAGATAGTGAGTAGGACTTCTCTTGTAGTGGTGTATACGCGTGGCTACTTGAGAGCATTTCGAGAGGGAGAGCTGACTTTCACCACCCTTCGTCGTACCAAGGCTTTCGGGGGCAAATAGAAACTATCTATTAATTCTTTTTTTGCAATCAATCTTTAGTGTATCATCAATTAGGCACCATAAATTGCTAATGAAAATGGTCATTCATTAATTTGTTTTCCGTGATTATAGATTATGTTATTGTTTACAAATGTAACAGGATTTTTACTTGTGTTTTTCTTTTTTGAATTTTTATTACTTGCTTACGCCTGTTATCCCTTGTAGAGCATAGACCTCTGACCAGAAATCTCTAATTAACTCTGTTCTCTTCTTTTTATACATTCATAAAACTAATGTCTGTAATAATCTATCTTAGAAAATCCACATCATAATGTATAATTCGTTGAATTTTAATAATAATTGACATTCCATTGTATCATTCAAAATACGTATGTTAAATACTTTAAACACTACCTTTCGTTCTTTATATATCGTAATCTACCTAACTACTCGGCATTAGTTTAAAATATATTTGTCTGTATCGGCTGAATCTCATTTCAAATAAACTATTGATAAACTTGGCTGTAAATGGATAGTAATCCTATTAGTCAGCCATCGATATTGATTGATGTAAATAGTTGATAATTCGGCATTATAATTTTTTAAAAAATACTACGTCTACTATTATTACTAGCTTATCGATAGCTACTAAAGGAGCATTTATCGGTTAATAATGGAATTTAACTAGGCTCATTGAAGAATACGATCGATTTGTACAAGTAGTTTCATTAATTGTACATAATTTAATAGATTATTTAATGTTGGTGAAATGCATTGTGTTAAGCAATAGCCTGTCTTATTGTTCCATTAAATCCCCTGATAAGGCTGAGAGTGAAAAAAGTCCATCCTCCTTATATTTCTTTCGTATGGCTAAGTGTTTATAACTACGTCCAGAGAATTCCTACTTCCTGCCTCCACGTAATTAGGGTGTTTATATAAAAGTAACACGACGAAAGTAAACTTTCAGTGCTTAAGCTGGATTGCTGAATGTGTATTAGTAATATTGACAGTAACTTAATAACACTAATGACCCTTTTACAAACCACTGTTCTTTTCTTCATCTATTCTTTTTAATTTGTCACACCCGATGGACAGTATCTGTGTGGTAAATGAAAGCAAATTATTTCGAATGATCTGTTTTATGGGGGGTTCGATCCCGTCTCCTACATATAGCATAGACTGTAAATATATGAATTTATTGCTCTAGTTGAGAAGAATTATATGACATCCCTGTCCCTTCGGTTATTTAATTCTAATAATCTTCTGTGATTATTATTATAGTCTATTAGTCCAAATTCGACCCACTTCCTATGTCGAACTTTTATTATTTTATTAGTCTTAGCACTACTAGTACACATATCTTCTTACTATCGATTTGTACTTTTTACCTATTATGTGTGACTATTGAATCTAGTTCATTGCGATCATTGATTCATAAATTGCCTTAATTAACTTAGTATTTTAATTTATTCTTGTATATTTGTGTAGAGCTTGATGAAGATCTAAATTAGGACAATATTGTTCTCTTATATGTGTTGCTCCAAATCCCTTTAATTTGTCATGGTAAAATTTTTGATTAATTAATGGTTTTGTAATGTAATGTATATATATATCCTTGATAAAGGTTATTCAATCTTGAACGTGTGTATTAAAAGCCTATTGATAAAATGACATTTAGTCAGAATCGGGGATATTTCGATTTACTGGCCTGACTTAACACCGGTTAGTCTTATCCGTAGTCAACTTAGTAAAATTATTCTAATCTAATGATCACGATCAGCTTGCGGTTATTAAAAATTTGAATTAACTCATTTGTCAGTGATTTTGGTATGAGAGGTATTGATAGAGTTTGAACCAAAAACCTAGGTAGATGTTTCGATTGTTGATAATTACCAATCTCTGGGTGTAATGAGTTATAACCTAAAGTATACTGGATATCATTATTTCATTTCATATGGCAATGATTCACATAAGTACTTTTTATATAATTCTGTTGTATACTAATACTTTTGAGACTTAATTAAGCGAAACCAAATCGTATATATTACGTGCTCTGCTTGATTATGGCTAATATGGTATACGGCTTTGGTATTCGTATGCACGGAACTCAGTCGCAAAAAAAGAGACGGAAGAAGGCAAAAGAAGCGTTTATTGAGTAGGTGTACGAAATGTACGGAAACACAGGTGTATTGATACTTTTTGGACATAGATTATAACACCACTATAATCCAGCCAATCCGGAAGTAGGATGTTTGCACAACTATCCAATCACAACATGTCACGTTGATAATCTAGAAATATCTATCTGGTTTTGATTGAACGGAATCTCTTCGGCTCCGTTAGAGTCTCTGAAGGATATGTTGCACTTTCTGGGAGCCATCTCAACGGTTTATTTGCGTTATAATGACATAATGGTTAGTTTCCTTTCAAAATTAACAAATTTGTGCAAATTTTATATTTATTTAGGTTCGCTTTCTAATAAAAAGGATCATTTCTGTTTTTAAAACTTGTGACCTTGTGATAATATCTCTGCGATGCCGATTTGAGGTCATTGAAGTACACCAGGACATTTTTATTTAATGACGAACTGGACCAATGCCAACTGTCACCTTGTTTACGAATGTTACATATATATATATATATATATATATATATATATATATCAAATTACCACTTTAGTTCAATAATTATTGATCACTTTCTGTCGGTTGATGGATTAAATAAATCTGTAAAATTTTACTACTGACTTATTATTAAACAGATATCTAGAACACCATAGATATGAAATTCTAGTCAGAAAATA